TTCTGTTGATGAACAGATGTTACCAATCAGCAAACGATTATTACCTTAATACAACTGACGACCTCTTTAATATCAATTTTTCTAAATTTAATTTTTCTATAAACATTTTCAAATAAAGTTCTTGAAATATATTTATATTCAAGTTGACATATGAATGGCTAATATATATTTAATCAGATTTGAACGTTATATATTTAGGTTAAATATGGATATTATACCCATTTATTTATTATTTTGTCAATTTTTATAAATGAAAATATTCTCACAAAAATATTAATAGAATTTTTTTAGATCTTTATTCATCTGATAGTTTTGATTACTAGAATGCCAAAAGAAATTAAAGATATCAAAGATTTCTTACTTATCGCTCGTCGAAAAGATGCTAAATCAGTTATTATAAAACGTAACCCTGAACGTAATACACGTCAAGCAAATACTAAATTCAAACTTCGAGCTAGTCGATATTTATATACATGTATGTTAATTATTAATTCGAAGGTGAAATTTATATTTTTGCTTTTTAGTACTTCTGAATGATAAAGAGAAGGCCGAAAAACTCAAACAATCATTACCACCTGGCCTTAACGTTAAAGAAGTCAAACCAAAAGCCAAAAGTACATGATTGATGAATATGAACTAGTTTTAAACAATAAAATAAGAAGAAAAAAAAAATTTGTTTTTGTTTCATCGTTTAAGCGTTTTTATTCAAAATATAGTCGAATAAAATTGCATAAAAAAGAAAATAGAATTTCGAAACTTTTCATTCTTTTTTTTTTCAAGTCTCCTTCAATCAATTTAAATATTAGATTATTTTTCAGATATCCTAAACCAATTTATTCATAAAGAAATTTTATAATTATTTAACATTCTTCTTACATTTACGTCAAAGAACAAAGAACTTGAACAAATTGAGTTCTTTAGAGAAAAAGAAGGATGTCATTAAAAACTAAGAGAAAAAAAATAATAATGTTTCTAACGACCAAAACCACCATTTCCTAAAGCTCCATATGGATTGTTACCCATAACAGGTGACCCACTAAGCCAACGTTGAGTAACTGATTGTTCAACAATGCAGCCATTTTGTGGAGGAGGGCAACAACATGGTGGTGGAGGACATGGTTGTGGTTGTTGTTGTGGAGGAGGACAGCAACACGGTATATAACATGGAACTGGAGTTGGAACAGGAACTGGAATACAAATTGGAGGTGGTGCTGGTGAAGGAACGCAAACTGGCACAGGAACAGGTACTTGTCGTTCACATGGTACTGCAACTGGACAAGGTACAGGTACAGGTCTATCGACTGGAACAGGACATTGTACTATAATTGGACAAGGTACAGGTACTGGTCGATCGACTGGAACAGGGCAGGGTACTGGCTGATGAATAATTTGTGGTTGTGGAGCTGGAATCAATTCGATTTGTCGACGTTCAGCAACATAATAATTAGGAGCACAGCCTACATTGACAGATGGACAATCCATACCTCCACCCATACTACCATATCCGCCTGGAAATCCATCATTATTTTGGTTGTAACCATATTTCGAACTAGAACCATGACCGCCCTGACCACCATTGGGATGACCACCATGGCCACCATGACCACCATTAGGATGATTGCCATTATGATGATTGCCATTATGATGATTACCATTAGGATGATTACCATTAGGATGATTACCATTAGGATGATTACCATTAGGATGACCACCATTAGGATGATTGCCATTAGGATGACCACCGTTAGGATAATTACCATTAGGATGATTACCATTATGACGACTAATATGACCTCCATAATTTGGTCTATCCACTTGCTCATTTACTTGTCTATGATGTATTAAATTTTGTCGATATTGATTAAAATTACCTTGATTAGGATTAGGAGGCATATTATTTTGTGCAAATCCTCTCATGCTTCCATAGCTCATATTTCTTTGTTTTTGATAAAACATATTGTTTTGTGGTTGTCTTCTATCCATTTGTTGTGGAAAAGGCATTGCAGGACCTCCGAATGAAGCACTTGACCTTGATCTAGAATGTCCATCTGTTGAAAATCGACGTTCAACATGTTCACCAAATCGTGATAGAGCATTACAAGTTTTATTGAAAACTTTTTCCATTGATATATTATTTTATATATTTAACTATTAATTGTCGTTGGTATAACTAGTTATGAAACTTGTTTATATACACTAGTTGAATATGTGCAAATGATCGATGTAAAAGAAGAGACCAAGAAAGCAAGTGCAGACGAAAAGAAGGCCTTGAGGGGAAACGAAGTGTTAATCATGAGTCAACTTTTTTTTAGCAGAACGAACAGTGTTTGACAGATGAAAATAGCAAAATACTGATGTTATCAACGATGTATTATAAACAGTTATTTTGGAAGTCATGACCATGAAATGCTATAAATTAATTGTTTTTCTTTTTTTTCTTTTAGAAATGAGCAACATAACAACAAATAATATATATTATCACCTAGATATAATCATGTAATTGAAAATCGATTTGATAAAAATGAAATATTTCATACGGTGAATGAAGTAACTTACAAACTGAGAAATCGGTGTACATTCTCAATACTCCCACAATCTCATGGCTGTTAAAATAGTGAAAAACACTTCTGATATTTTCCACTCCCCCATCTGTATCGATGAAGTAATGTGTGGTAACGAATTATATTAATGTAAAAAAAAACGATTACAAATTAACTGTCAATATATAGTTTTTTTAGATAATAAAGTCGTAAAAAAAAGTGCTGTTAGATCATTGATGAATCTGAAGGAAATATGTATAATTTTAAACTCATTAGATTGATGTTTTTTTTATCCTCTTATATCAAGAGCATATTTTTGAACAGCTGCTTTCATCATTGATCATAGCCTTTGTATGTCAAACTATTTATCACCATTATATAAAAACGATACTTATTCTTCTGTAAAAAGAATGATGTTGCTCTTAATGTGACATAGATCATTATCAAAAATTTGTTTCATTTTTGATATTCATCACATCAACATTCTATTTTTGTAACTTTTTACTTATATTACTTTACTTCTTAGGCTTTTTTTAGCCAACGGAAAAAAGTATTAATCAATAAAAATAAAATTTTATTTTATCTGATTTATTTGAAATAGATATTTTATTTATTTTTGTCTCATGTGACCAGCTAATGTACATATCGATTATGTAGTAATCGATTAAACGAGTATATAACTGCAGAAGGGAACGATTCTATTTGATCGTTATTTCTATAAAAGAATATTATTATAGTTCTAATGAACGATTTACCATATGTATCCGATGAAGATTATTTCAATCTTTCTTTCCGATCGAGAAAGTGTCAGAGTAGTTAACATATTGATGACAAGTAAAGGTCATTCTTTCTTTCTATTTTTATCCGAACTCATATTATATTTCTCTTCCGACATAAACGATTAGAATATATCTCTATGATTTATATATAAATTTAATCGTGCGTATAGTTCAATCCTGAATCTATTGATAGGAATTAAAAACGAAGGTTACCTACACCATTACATATGAAATTAGCTACATTTCACTAACGATTTCTTTTTTTTTTGTTATATATTGCATGACAAATAAGAATAGTATTTCCCGTTTTTAACAAATGCGATTGTTTATACCTGGGCTTTTTTTTTCTCCGGATTTTTCCGTCATCCGTTTATACAGATTATGGACATAGAAGAAACAAAAAAGCAATATCTCATATAAATGTATAAAGAAAAATCTTATTCCCCTAGATACTAATAGATCACTCATAGTCTTCGATTAAACAGGGACATAAGATACTAGTCACTTATATAATCGTGTAAGTTTTCATTTGAATAATTTTAATTTCTAGAAAAAGAAAAAAAAATATGGGTAATATTGATAGTCGAAATGAACGGTTTTATAATCTTTGTGGTTTGGGTAAAGCACATTTGATTGAAAAAATGCTTGAAAATGATCGGATAGTAAATACTATTGATATTAATTGGGTTTCATTTGAAAGTCAATCAACAGCATTATTGATTGTAATAAGAAAAAACAGAGGACATACAAATTTATATATATAGTTTCAATTTTTATAGGCTTCAGCCAATGGACATGAACTTGTTGTTGATATTCTTTTACGAAATAATGCAAAGTTTACTATAAAAGATTCTCGACAAGCTACAGCACTTCATCATGCTGCACAACGTAATTATACAAAAATAGCCAAGAAACTTTTACATGCTGGATGTGATGTTAATGCTCAAGGTTAAAAATCTTAACACAAAAATATTATTTTAAAATTATTTTATAATTCATTAGATAAACTTGGTTGGACACCATTGATGAAAGCTTGTTATTTTTGTAGTCCAGATATTATTCTAACTTTATTAGAAGGTGGTGCTAATATTGATGCTCAAACAGAACAAGGTCGAACTGCACTTCATGAATTATGGTAAATTTATAAGTAAATAGTTTTTTTCTATTTAATAATCAAATATTTGTTTTTAGTCGATCACCATCATTGAATAATGAAACATTATTAGCAGAAATAGCTTGTATATTAATCGAAGCAGGTGCTAATGTAAATCAAATTGATGAAGATCATTTTACACCATTAATATATGGTATAATTAATTTCAAATAATAGATTTTCTCTAGACTAACAATTGTTTATTTTTAGCGGCTTATCATAATCACCCAAGTGTCGCACTTGTTCTTCTTGAATCGAATAGTTTAATTGATAAAACTGATAAACAAGGTTGGACAGCTCTTCATTGGGCTATCGATCGTGATCATTCCGAAATAGTTCAATTATTAATTGATAAAGGTGCTCGAACAGATATTCGTAGTCATCGTGATGAATTAGCTATATCAAGAGTAAAATCTATTGGTGTTAAAAATATTATCAAACGTTGCTCAACAAAATCAATATCATTAACAGATATGAATATTAAAAAAATATCTTCAAATATTTCAATGATTGATCTAGAAAATTGCCAAACATCAGGACCAATCTAAATATACACCAATATGTTTATCATCGACATTCTTTTTTTTGTCTTTTATAGAATAGAAAAAATAAATAGGACTTTTTTGGCAAATGCATTATGTCTATTATTCTTTTTTTTTAATGATTATAAAGATATTTCAGATTATTGATATCCTCGAATGGAACATCTTGTATCTATTTGTCATTGATCTGTTACCTTGAGATCACTATACAGCTGGAAAAAATTCTCTTGATTTATTGAAGGAAAATACTATTTTTTGATATCAAAGATATCTAGTCTGTCTTTGAATGATCGTCTACATTTAGAGTTATGATAATAATCAATCAATCAATGAATGCAACGAGAGAAATGATATAACGATATGGAAAAAATATCGTCTGAACTTCCGAAATGTTTATTCTCATATAGCAATAAATACACAAACAGTTTATTTTTAGCTTAAGCCAGGAAAGCAAGAACAAAAAAATGTTTTTTTTTAATTAGTTGTAATAAATGTCGCGTGTTATTTAGTTTTTTTTCATTTACAAATGATTCTATATACTTGATAAATTACTTCAAAAAATTTGCTTTTTTTCAACACTTGAAATTCTTGTCAAATTTTTCTTTTAAAATAAAAGCGTTAGTAATTATTAATCTATGACAATGAGAAATATTTAAAGATTAATAGATATATATATTTAATCCATACTATTTATGAAAGCTTTATTTATTTCATAACTATTCTCAATTCAAACGATAATCTTCACTAAACATATGTTGACCTATATCGATATTACAAGTGTATTTCATATGATTATTCACTCAATTACCCATATAAAAATGATGCAATTATCATACTGACATAGATAATTTGTTCGATGATCTTCACATATCTGATCGAATGTATTGTTTTGATAATAAAAAAACTTTTTGCATCGCTTAATATAAAAAATTATCATATCGTTCTTTATATTAGTGTTAAGTCATCGATTACAACGATATCTTCTTGGTCTTGTCAATCAAAGTTACGTATATAGATTCAACTGATATAGCATCTGCTAGATTTTTGCCATTTTTTTTTGATAATAAGCAGTAGAATATGAAGAAAAAAGACAGAGAAAGAGAGATATAGACAGAGAGAGAGAGAGAAAAGACTTTCGATGAGAAGTTCTACTAACACTTCACTTCCTTTTTTTGCTTCTGACTCAAATATCCATTTTCTTCCCATTGCCACAACTAATTTGAAAACCACTATATTTTTTTCTTTTC